TCAACATAATCACATCATTAATTAATATTTAATTCATGCAAGGGTTTAAAATAATCTTAAAATTAAAGATTTAGCTACAAATGTTTATAAAACTAATGAGAAAATACAAATATATCAGCACAAATATTGAATAAAAGAAAGAGAAGTGGTGAAGAAGAACCAAAACATGAAGCTAAAATCTCTTTCAATTTTTATATCCTAACTCAATCTTCAAAAAATTTCAAGCCCTTGACACATCCAAAACTTCTAAATACTTTCAAGCAAATAGAATCTATATAGTGAATGAGCATGGATGACGTGGTTTTATTGTTAGATTTATCGTTGTGTTTAGGGCTAGTGATATTATTATAGGTAGTGCTATTATTATAGATTTATTAATGTGCTGAGATATTGTTAATTGTGGAATATCTACCCATTTTTGTTAATCTAACTCCGCGAGACTTGTGACATGGTTAGTGATATAGCGGGTGATATTTTTATGTGGATTTGAATGTCGTTGTCCATGTGTAGTTGATGGTTTGATATGCGGTTGACTCCCAAAATTGGTTATGTTGAATTGTGGCCATGAGAGAGAGGTCAAGCATGGTTAAATACTCAGGTTATTGTGCCCCCGTGCTATTGATCAGTAATAATCATTAATGAAATTACCTATTTTTGCTTCTATTTATTTGATTACTTTGATTTATTATTTTGAATGAGATCCCATTTTAAAGAGTTATTTTTTATCATTGTTTTTCTTGTAATCATGGTTAAACTTATTTTACTATCAAAATAGTTAATTAAAAATATTAACCTTAATTATTATAAAGTGAAGTTTAATTAGGGAGTTAATTATTATAATTATTATCCAATGGCAATGAACATTGCATCGCTCTTTCAACGTCTTCCCACGCCACATGCGCTGATCTCCTTTGACATTGAAGAGACATGACAGTGCGATGGTGCTGCAGTGGTCCCACTGTACTTGAAGATGAGTTGATTGCTCGTCTCAAGTACATGATCCATCCACAATCCCAAAATAGGTCTTGGCTAGAAGAGCCGTTCTCATTAAAGGTCATAATTCGGACGGATCGTGTTTATTTAAATTAGACTTAATTTAAGTTAAATTTATTTAAATTAAATTTAAAATATTCTATTTTTTAAAAAAAGTCAATATAGTTAAGCTTGACCCTAACACCTTCGGACTTTGGATTTATTCAGGCTGGCCCGAATACCCGAGATTTTTTAAAAGTATTTTTTCTTTATTTTTTAAACTAATTTTAATTTTTAAATAATTATATTAAGCATAAAATATTCTTTTAATTTTAAAAGAATAAAATAAAAAATAAATTATCAATTTTGTACTTAAGTAGCTCTGTTATTATTTTATTATATTATGTATAATTTATTCATGAATGTTTCCTTTATTTGTAAATTAATATATTAATTGTTTAAATATTACTTTTATCATAGTCATATATAAATATTTTATATATTTTAATTATGATTAAGTTAATCTTAATTCAATTACAATTAGATTACTAACTTAAAATTATTATCCTGATTAGTTCAAAATTTTTAATAACTTTTAGGTAAATTAAAATTTTCATTTTTATGAATATAAAAAAATTGCCATCATTATATTATATAAAAAAATTATTTAATTATGAGTAAAATATTATTTTTTTAAAATTATTTTTTTTAAATTTTTATATTGTTTAACTCTTACATATAAGAGATTCTTACTTTAGTTTACTCTTAATTTTTAACCAAGTCTAGCATGGACAATAACCAAATAATTTTTTAAGAATATTATTCTATTTATTATATTTATCTAGTAGTAGAGTCGGGAATTCATATATTCCTAAATTTTATTTTTAAAATTATTTTTCATTTTATTTTTACTTTAAAATTAATTATATTAATTTATAAAAAATGTAAAATTATTTTTTTATACGCAAATGATTTATAGGACTCAAAAAATTTAAAAAAAATTGGGTCTTAAAATATAAAAATTAATATTAAAATATATTTTAAATATTATTTTGAGATATTTTATTGATTAAAAATAATAAAAATATGAAATATATCTATTTTTAATTTTTTAAAAAATACTATATCAAAACACTCATATATATAGTATTTTGGTATAAAATGATATAAAACTTGAAAATCTAATTAATATTTATCATATTTTATACATTTTTTTAAAAATTTATTTTTTTATTCGGGTATTCGGGCTAAGCCAGAACCCGATCGGGCTTGGCTCGAATTTTCTCGGGCCTATTCGAGCTGCCCGAATAAGCCTGAACAAGAAAAATTAATATTTTTTGAGTTTGGTCCTAAATTTTTCGGGCGGGTTCGGATTGACCCGTCAAGTTTGGTCCAAATTATTGACTTTAATTCCCATTGCTTAACACCATAGGGTGTACTTGCTTGAGCCAGGGAGGCTGGGTCTCTAATGGATGATGAGCAAAGGAATTGTGATGCTGAGAGTCGAGGCAGATGGCTGGTATGATTTGTGACCATCACCAGTAAACGTTCTTTTTTAAAAACATAATTTTAAATCTTGTGCTTTGCTATTTTATTATTCATCTGTATATATATATATTTTTTAGTATTTTTGATACTTTTTTATTTTTTATTTTTTTAGATCTCTTCATAAATAAAGTATAGGGATCTTGTAAGGATATAAAACAATAAAAATAAAAGTATAGGAATTAAAAATACTAAAAAAATACAAAGATAAATAGTAAAACGTGAATAAAATATAAGGATTTAAAATTATATTTTTTTTAATATTTTTTTTGTATTCTTGCCCCTGGAGATGGAAAAAGCGGGGAGAGATGCAGCCTCATTTTGTGCTCATCAGAGGCTTGGCTCATCTAAGTCTTTTTTTTTTTTTAACAAATACAAGGCCACGCAAAGTCATGCAGGAGAGACAAAAATCAAGTTATGTCAAGAACCATTAGGTTTCTACAATCAGGTGACAAATTATCAAGAATCGCAATGTCTGAGTTGTCCCAAGATGGTTGTTGAGCAAGCAGATCGGCACATCTATTAGCTTTTCTATATACATGATCGAAAGTGATCACTCAGTCCTTCATAGTTAGCTCTCTAATATTCTTGATGATGTCAAAAAATGGGTATCATTCAGAGAATTCATGCTCAATGAGTGATAATGCTTCTATTAAATCTGAGTAGACATTGACTTTTTGAGATTTAATTAGCATTCCAATAGAGGTTGAGAACTTCTAAAATTCCCATGAGCTCAGCTCCCGTGCTACGATAGTATCCCAGATATTTGATGAATCCCTTGATCCAATTATTCTTTTCATCTTTGATGATACCTACACAAGTGGCAATACCACCAATATTAACAAAGCCATCAATATCGAGTCTAGCTCACCTCGCTGCTGGAGGGCTCCATTTAGCTTCACGTCTGGCATCACCTTGACTAATGTGATTGACTTTAGATTGAAGCTTAAGATTGTTGATTATCTGTTAAATGTTGGAGAAGGTAATGTCATTATCTTGGATGTCATTCTTAGAGTAGATTTTCTTGCATATTTAATTCAAGTCTTTAATTGTTGTCTGTTGTTTATTTTCAATTTACTTTTCAATATTTTTAATATGATATCATTAAAATAAAAAATTATATAAATATAAAAATTTTAATATTAAATATATGCTGTCTAATGTATATTTAGATAATTAATTTATAAAAATTATAAGATTTTTTAATATTAAACTTGATTGCTTAGATAATATATGTAAAGTCCATAATATATTTGAATAGTTAATTTATAAAATTATAAAAAATCTTACTATTAAATTAGATAGTTCAGTTTAAATATATACTGGCTAGATTGATTATAAACATTTTTTTAAAAAAATTATAATTTTTATAAATTTTTATTTTAATAAATATAAAATAAAATAAAAATTATAAATATGAACTGACTAATACTCACCAGCAAAGATGAGTAATATGGTACTGTTCCCCAAATACTGACGACAATCCAACTGTAACGACCCAAAATAATAATAATAATAAGAAATAAAGTATATATAATATTAATAAATAAAGGAATAAACACATGTGTGCAGCAGATATTTTATTCTCTTCCTTCCTTATCTTCCATATTTTCGAATTGCACCAATCAGAGAGGGAGAGCGCACGAGAGAAAAAAACCATATCCTTCCTTTCTTTTGTTCTTCCTCCTCTGATCACTTCTGTCAATTGCCGGTGAACGTGTTGCGACCGTCGCTGCCGTAGAGGTCCGTTTGTGTAGTCTTCTTCCTCACCCACGTTTCTTGCCATCCATCGGTCTTCTTCTCCTCTTCCCTCTCCAGTCGCTGCAGTATCGTACTGAGTCATCCTTGTCTTAGTGGTTCAGCACTTGTTCTTCCTCTTTTCCTTCTCTTTATTTTTTTTTTCCTGCTGCCGTCCATCCATGTGGGGTTAGGAATCTTTAATGCGCCATTCTCTAATATCTCTTATGATGTTCCAACGTTTTAATTTTGTTTTTTATTTTTCTTTGAATTATTGGCTTGGATATTTTGATGTTTTAAAATGGTGAAGATTTAAATTTTTATGATTTTTAAAAAATAAAAGGGTGTGTTTGTGATATTTTCTTAAAAAATCATAAAAAATACAAATCTTCATCATTTTGGGATATCAAGATATCCAAATATCTCTTATTTAATATAAAAGTCAATAATCTAAAGAAAAATAAAAAAAAAATTGAAAAGTTAGAGCATGACAAGGGGTATTGAAAAAAGACATATTAGAGGCCCCCAGCCCATCCATGCGTGTGAGTATATTGTTTGGGGTGTTGAAGAATTTGAATATTTCTCCCTAATTTTGTTCATGTATGAAATAGAAAGTAGATGAAATTTAATCAAATTGGAACTTAAAATTTAAAGGGTGTATTTTGATAGATAAGCTATTTTGGTCACTATAAGAGGAAGGAAGAGAAAAGAATTGGGAAGAAAGAAGTGGGACTTAATACAGGACATTAGTTGCTAATGACAGTTTTATTAACCCTTAGTAAGCCATGACACACTTAGCTAAGATAGTACATTGAAGGTGCTAGCCTCGTATGTTGGCCAGATACAACAAAATGGGCTCTTATATGATCCGTAATGCAACAGAAATAACCAGAAAACAACAATATACAATAAGCCCAGATACAAAAGGCCTAAACATATTATACAAAAATATGTAACAGGCCCAACTCATTTGTCCCTAAGACCAGCAGTTCCTACACACTTGCATGACATGGGCATGTAACCCAAATATGTCTTATTATGCCATTTAGTTACAACAGTACATAACTGGGTCATGAAAGCAACAACAAAGTTGTCCTCACGGAACTTTAGGAAAATCAACAACAACATCAACAGCAACCAGAGAACTGCTCCACAAGACAATAGCAATAATGCATCTTAGCTTACTGCAAGTGAGAAGTGACAGTGATGAAAGTAATAATTAGTTCTAGTCTATGCTGAACCTTATAAATTGTGATTAATTAGCAATATGATACCGGAAATGATGGTAAACAAATATTGTCCTTTTTATAAAGAGGGGAGAGAGAGAGAGAGGAAAATTTTTTATCTTATTTATATGTTACATCATTAAATTTTGCTCATAAATTTTTTTCTTTTATCCTCCATTAAATATTGGAGCAAAAAAAATATGTTGTAAAAGTATGTATATTTAATAGGAATAAAGTTAAAAATTTATTAAATTTTTAAATAAAGTCAATAAGTTTTATGATTTTCTTGAATTTGGTGAAATATGTTAGAAGTGATTTATAAATAAGATTAGATGAGTATTATGTATCAAATAACATGATTGTTGGGAAAAAAATGGCAGATAAAAAAAATTAATTAGTGAGGACAAAATTTGTACCTAGCCAGTAAAAATATTAATTTCTTAAAATATACATTTATAAATATTTATTAAATGAATGACAATAAAACTTATTAGAGTTAGATATTAGAGAAACAATACGAAAATATAATAATAATAATAATGATAATAATATATGAAAATAAGATTATATCAATTAAAAAATATTTATATTAAAAGTCATATACAATGAGTATTGGCAATTAGAATCATACTCCTTTATGTTCGTCAAACAAAAAGTTGATTATTTATCTCGTATGGTAGAATATCGTAGTCAAATGATTTTTGATAAATTTTTAACCTAGATAATTAAATAAATTTATTTTCAATTTTATTATAAAGTATTAATATATTAATGAATTGAAAGCATGTATCAAAGAAGTAAAAAAAAACAATTTTAGTTGATGAATTAGAGATTCATGATTGTTTCTTATAAACCATATTTTATTGAAGAAGCTCAAATATATTTTTATATTTTTTACGTTTTATATAATTATTCATAAAATTAATGTCTCTTTTAATGTGCAAGCATTGGACATTAAAAAATTTAAATAGATAGAATTTTTGATGGAGGCATAAATGAAATTTGAGGGTAGAAATAATTTTCATAGAAGTACAATATTATGATAATAGGAAAATGATAGTAGATCTAAAAGATTGAATTGATATAATTTAGGTCTTGATTTTTTTTTAAAAAAATGAGTTTTCAAATATTAAGTTGAACATATATAAATAGGAACTATATTTATAATATGATAATTATATTTGAAGTTTAAGTATTTTATAGGTAATTAAAGCTTCTAAATTTATAATTATTTAAATTCACATTTTTAATTTATTTTTCAAAAAATTAAATATAATTCAATCTATGAGGACTAAATTCTTATTAACCCTCAAGAAGGTGCGCCACATTATTTATAATCAATTTAATAAAAATATAAAATTTAAATAATATTAAATATAAATTGATTTTTACATTGATGTTAGTAGGAAAAAAGATAGAAAATTACATACATATTCTATTTTTTTAAAAAATAGTCACTCCATTATAAAAATAAAATTATTAAAAATAATGATATATAAAATTTTATTTAATTGAATTGATATAATTTTATTAAATGGATTATGAATAATATAGTGTACTGGATAAATATAAGATTCACATGCTGGAAGAATATACATACCGTTGGCAAATCATTATTCACAATCAAGATCACAGAAGAGACGACAGAAGCAGCATAAACAGAACTGACTGCATACAAAGTGATCAAACAATAATTAGATCAGTGGCCAAAGCAAGCTGCTATTATTTATTTTTAATTAGTTCCATTTTACCAATTATATCTTAAATACTTAAATCATTTTGTCTAAAAATATTATACTGAAACAATTTTGAAATGATTTTTAGTATGTAGTTGACAATAAATTATTTGATAACAAAATTAAAATAATTTGATGGAATAGGGTTTAAATTTTTAATTTCATGATATAGGGTTTAGAGTAGTTTGCCCTTAAACTTTACTCTTCACGTCTATGGCACCTTAAACTCAATTTTAACTTATTTTTATTTTTGAATTATCAAAATAATTACCTTGTCACCTCACTGTTAATGCACTGTAACAACCATTATTGGTAAAGTAGGTCTCACCAATTTTATATTTTTTATAATAAAATATTGGGTCAAGATTCACTTTTGTCCTTAGAATTCAAAGTATATGTGGAGGAAAACTTAAGAACAAAATTGACCTTGATCCAATATTTTATTATGAAAATGGTGAGATCCACCTCACTAAAAAATATATATCATGGTGCATTAATGGTGGGGGGGACAAGGTAGTGTTTTTAAACATTCATGAATAGAAATGACCTACCGTGGAGTTTAAAGTGCTTGCAAATTTAAAAAAAAATTAAAAAATAAAAGTGACCCTTAATTCCATAATATATTTTCCTTTTATTTTTTAAATTTTTAACTCATATTTTATGACACTCATGAGTGAAGGGGTTTGTATTAAAGCAAAGAAAACAATTATGTGGTTGTTGAAAGCTAAGAAACGAATTTGCACACAAATATATTAAAGGATAATTGATGATAAAATTAACAATCAATTCTTTACCGACATACAAAAAAAAAAAGGGACCCCTCTGGCACCAATGTATGAATTGAATTACAATTTAGGATAAAAAATTTCATCATTTAATTAAATAATTGACATTAAAACTTGAAAAAAATTTCTAACTAATTTCCCAACTCTTTTTTTTATAATACTAATTTCCCAACTCTTATCATGATGGTTTCGTTCTTTCTTTGTTTTTTTTTTTAAGAAAAATTGTTTTTCGGCCAAAAGTATTGTTAATAATATGAACATTGGAATACATATCAGTGAAGAAATTTCACAACAAGATTTTAAAATTTGACATTGTTATATGAAATGTTGGCAACTAATATTTTGAAGTTAAATTTAAACGTAAAAGATTACAACAAACTTTTTTGAAATAATACATACTCCTTCCTAATAGTGATCAAAGATGTGGTTTGATTTGGTTTTGGACAAAATATGAACCAACAAAAACCAATCAATTTGCACAAAAAATGACATTTGATCAAGTTTTTTTTATTAATATCAGTTTGTTTTGGTTTTTAGGCGGTTTGATTTATACAAGGATCAAGTTTCAATATTTTTTAACATATAAATTTATATATTAAGGCTAAGCATAACTTTTTTACTTTCTTTTTTTTTTAATTCTAACTTTTTTGGTCAAATTTTAATCTAACTTTAAGTCACATTCTTAATTTTATCATTTATGAATGAAAATGAATATCAAATAAAAATATTCAAATTAATTTCATTATCACTAAATACCTGAGTAAATGCATTTGTCAATAACATAAGTTAATGAGTTTAAATAAAAAAATGATGTTAGAAAAATACAATTAATATGCTATCAATTATATTAATAACCAAATAATCTTTTTATAAAGTGTTCGATGATAGGGACTACAGAAAGTATACATATTATCAGAGTCAAGAAATTTAAATTTTAAATTTCATGAACTTTATCTTAAAATTTAATAAATTTATATTTCAACATCTAATAATAATAAAAAGATTAGATGATACCATGCTTTCCCAAAGCCACCACCCTTGGACTGGGTTTGAAAAGAAGCTGACTGAGGGTTTGGTGAAGTGTCATTATTGGTGGGATAACCAACTGGTGGAGGAGTCACTATTGGCGCATTTGTTGACGTTGCTTGGGGATACGCTGTTCATACAAAAAATAAAAGTAAAAAAAAAATCAAACAAATTAGTAATTAAATTAATCTTCTTGTCAATTGTAGATACCGAGAGATATCTGACGTGTCAAGTAACTAATAGAGCAAGAAGTGGGTAAAGTACTGTCAAAAAAAAAAGTCCACCTTTCATGATCTGATTTCAAATAAATATTTTACATACATATATATATATATATATATATATAATGGTTGAAGCATCTAAATTTTTTTAAATCCATCTTAAAAATATATATTGACCATTGAAAAATTCATTGCATAAAAAATGAAATTACTAGCATAATTATTTTAAAATGAAATCAATAACAAATTATATGGTAAAATTAATGATAGAAAACTGTGCATTTAAAATAGTTAGAAAAAAATGCAAATATGATATTCATGATCAAGTTATTTAAATATGAGAGATAAATAAACTATATTGCTTTGATCTAAAGGTAGACTCTGCTTATATATGACGCGGCATGAAGAAAAATGATTCCAATAATTCTCTTTTTAATTTTCTCACTTTAATAACAGATAGATTGATCAGAGCTAAACAATTAATTATTTTGAGAAAGTCCATATAACATGTACTCCCTTCTTTTAAAAATTTAAAAATTTTTAACCAAATTTTATTCTCAATAAAAATAATTACTTATTTTTAAATTAACATTATTTTTTTATTTTTATCTCTATCAAACACTTTATAATAAATATAAAGTTATTATTAATGGGGACACTTTTAAAAAAATAATAATTATACCTCAAAAGATTAAAAATGCCTTACATTTTTTAATATTCAAGTCTTCAAAAAATACTTTACATTTTTTAACGGAGGGAGTATCAATTATATATGTTAATCATGGTTAATCTCAAAGTTAGAATTTAATTACTTTATGGATTTTCTTCATAGTTTCTTACCACACAGGATATGAAAAATTCTCAATTTTGATTAAAGTAAAGTCGCTGATCAATCATGAACATTCATAAAAACAAGAGTAAAATTAAAACAAGGAAAAAATGCGAACAATTTTAGTACTAAAATCAATTTCATTAATTACCTGTTGGAATACCAGAACTCATGGTTGAAATATAACTAAATCAAGCTCTTCTGAACTTAAGAACTGATCAGTATGAAGCAGACAATGACGACCCAGAAGAAATATAAAGATCAACAAAACGTCGATGCTTATTACAAGAAACTAAACGAACAAGAAGATCAGAAGAAGAAGAAAGATTCAATTTGAGGTTGGAAGAAAACGAAGAAGACGATGGTATACTTATAGAGAGATCTTCACAACTTGTTGCTTGGAAAGAAACGGACGTCATTATTGAACAAGAATGGAAGACGACGGCGGCAACACGTGAGCATTGTACGATAAAATATAATAAATGATGGAGAAGGAGAAGGCACGCACGAATTTTCGATCGCCACCACATAAGTATGATATCTTTTCTTTTTTCTTTTTCTTTTAATAATCTAATTTTCAGTTTTTATAGAAAATAACAAGAAAATATTAAAAAAATCCCCTTGTCTATATAATTTTTATACCTCCAGCTCACAACTCATGCAAATTGTCACCCAAAGTCACTGTTTCACTCCTTTCCATTATATAGATTCATGCATATGCAGACTAGTCAATCCTTCCAACAAGTGCTTTTTTTTTTTTTTTCTCCTCATCTTTGTTCACTTTTTCGTTATTTACTTATATTTATTTTTTATATCTTTTGATCTCCCTCATAAGTCATGACATCTCTTCAAATATTATATATATATATATACTCTCTCTATTAAAAAATGTAAGGCATTTTTAATCGAATCTCACCCCCCAATAAAGTTCTTACTTACTTTCAAACTAGCCTATCTTTTTATATTTACCCCTATTAACTACATCATAATAAATATAAATCACCATCAATAGAGGTACTTTTGAAAAAAAAAAAGGCAATGATTATACCTCAAAAGACTAAAAATGCTTATATTTTTTAACATCCAACTCCTCAAAAATGTCTTACATTTTTGAACGGAGAGAGTATATATATGAACATCTCTTTCATCTCCATTTGTTAGCTATTTATCTATATTTTTATTTCATATGATATCATTTTATTTTGATTATAATTTTCCTATAAAATTGTTTAATGACCAACCATAAAAATAAGTATGGCAACCCTTTTATCTTTTTAATTAATTTTTAGACTTATTTCTTTATATGTAAACATCTTTTTCATTTATATTCATCCAAATATTGTTTACATATCTTTTCAAACAAATTTAGTTCTTGTTTCCTTTAAAAAATATGTGATCACCATCTCAAAAAAATCAACAATAATTTTGAAATTAAAAAAATAAAAATTAATTTAAACTTCCGTAAAATATTTAAATAAATTAATTGAATTATATCCGGTCTAACCCTTGTCTGACTATTAAACCATAAATCAATCCATCAACTAGTTCAATGGTTGGTCTATCCAAACGGTTAAGCAACAATTAATAATAATAATGATATAATATTGTTTTTATTATAAACACTAATAACTAATACAAATAATATTCCTGCTTGCTTAGGACAGCTAATTTTGTTGAATATATTGCTGGCGTCGCTAATATATAGGAGAATTTTAATACTTTTTTCTAACTAAGTAAGAAAATTAATCAATATAAAAATATTTTAAATGAAAATTTTTTTGGGGGCCAAAATCTCAAAGGCAACTTAGCTTGAACTTCCACTTTCGAAACTACAAAAAACATTGTTTTATGTTTTTTTATATAGAGAAAATAACAATAAAATCTCTAAATTATGTAAATGAGAAGTTGATCATTAAAAAATATTATTCATTCACTAAAGCTCCTAGAAACTTATATGTCAATAAATTTTAAAGTGAAAAGGTTGTTTACCTTTATTGAAAATAATAAGCCTCATTCATAACTTTTGCTTAACCAATAATAATTTTTGTTCTGCGAATAGCAATAGTTAAATAAAAACAATAATGATTTATATAATTCAGCAGATTTTATTTTCATTTTCCTTATATATTGATATGTTTGGATATTTTTTTATGTGTTTTCAGTTCATTATTAGCTAAACTATACTTTTGTACTTTTAACTTTATCACAAACTTTTATTTTGATCCTTTAATTTTATAAAATATTTTTTAGTTATTTAATCTTAACACCATTTGTTTCATCATAAAAATTTTTTACATTGAATTTTAAATATAATAAAATATTTTCAATATTAACAAATTAATTTAATTCTTTTAAGTAACAATGATTGGCACAAAAAATTATTTAAAACAAACAGTGTTATGCTTAAAGAATTAAAAGAGATATTTTATAAAATTAAGGAACTAAATTAAAATATTTATAAAATTAGAGGACCAAAAGTATATTTTTAACCTTCATTCTCTTGTTTGTAATGTATTTCTAGTTTGAGTTATATATATATATATATATATATATTGTCATTAATGAATTATTAATCCATAATAATATTAGTCTTTTTTTTGCAAATTATACTTCTTCTATCACCAATAAAAAAAGGATTAAAAGATAAAAATACCTTGAAAGTTTTTTAAAAGGAGCACTGAGTCTCTTACCTTTTAGTCCAAGAAATATTGTTCCCAAATAAAAAAACAGTATAATTTCAATCCACTGTTAACATCCTTTAATGTTTGGTCATTAAATTCTATTTTGACAAAATGTTTTTCACATGTCAACCCTTCTTTCTCTCTGCATTGTTGTTCTTCTTCCTTCCGTCTCCCTCTCTTTGCATCTAACTCCCTCCCTCCCTTTGCTGTCATACCTTATGATGCATTATGAGACAACTCTGTGGAGGCAATTACAAGTTTGGTATCTTCTTGGTAGATGAATCCAACCACGCTAAAGGAACAGTATCTTGCTGCAGAGGTCTCGAGCTTGGCTCTTCACTTTACTGACTCTCCCATTCAAAAATGATAATAAAGCTTCAGTTAAGGAGCCAATAGATGAAGAGGGAGGTTAAAGAGGAAATAGAGACTTACCTACTGCTAGTGTTGGGGGCATACCTTTGAGAATGGTTATAACTTGAGAAAATATGGACAAAAAACATGCATATACACTCATAAAAACTCAACTTTCTCACAAGTGCAGCGCAATAGAGAGAGACGAAGAAGAAGAATGGCAGAATCAAAGGAAATGTGGTTTGCACTTATAAAAACAAGAATGTCTTCAGTTATGGGGGGTGCCTACAGTGTCTCTCTACTACATGTCTCATCTCTTCCTCTTCAGTTTCACTTACTCCTCTGGGCAGCCCTATGAGGAAGGCATTGAGGTTCATTATTAGTTTGTTGATGCAAGAGTTGGGGGCTAATAAATTGACGATGGCGTTTGTATGGCAAATTTACACACACACTGTGGCTATGGTTCATCTTCATGAATCTATAGAATGAGCAGTTTTTTACAATTTCTACCTTCATAACTCGTCTTCGCCACCATCAGTAATCATACCTTTATTCCCTTTTCTGATATCTCTCTCAAATTCTAAAATCTCAATATTTTTTGTTATGCAATCTTGTTGTGTAGGAATGACACATGATGAATAGTCACTTTTATTTATCCCTTTTGGTTTGAAAGATCTGTGTATATTTATTATTTTCTTATAAGTTTTATTTAATATAGAATCATGTAAAATTGCAAGAACCAGGTGACACACAATAGCTTCCGAACTCAAACAAAGGAACGGATGACCGTTGTGGATGTGGGGAGAGGCAAATGTAGAGAGAGGGGGATGAAGGGAGGAAGAAGAATAGTGCAAGAGAGAAGAGAGGTTGACACAAATAAAAATTTGATTAAAATAAAATGAAATGGTCAAACATTAGACAGCGTTAACGTGGGATGAAATTGCACTCTTTTTAAAAGTTTCAGG